CCTTTTGTGCTTAAATAGACGGGAACGAATGATACCCAAACACTACAAAACACCAACATGCTGAAGGTGATGAATTTGGCCTCATTAAAACTGTCAGGCAATTTCCTAGCTAAAAAGGCTACAACAAAGCTGATTGTAGCTAGAAAGCCCATGTAACCTAACATACAGTAAAACATGATGGCTGATCCTTCATTGCATTCAAGTATTATTTCTCCAAAAATGGACTGCGTGTCTTGATTCAAGAAAGGTGGGGAGATTCCCAACCATAAAACACAAAGGCCTATTTGGAAAAGAGAACAATAAAACACAATGGAAATGGCCAGTCTCTTGCCCATCCATTTCCTCATTCTGGATCCTGGTTTGGTGGCCATGAAGGCAAGAACCACAGTGATGGTTTTGGCCAAGATGCAGGAAACAGTTAGGGTGAAAATGGATCCAAAAGCCACTTGCCGGAGGAGACAGGTCACTTTTCTGGGTGGGCTGAGGAAAAGGAAGGGGCAGAGAAAGCAGAGCAGTAGGGAGAAGAGGAGAGCATAGGTCAGATCCCGGTTGTTGGCCCGGACAATTGGCGTGTCCTGATGCTTAATGAAGATGACCAGGACCTGGACTGTGAGCAGAGAAAATAAAACAGCAAAAAAAGATAAGCTTATCCCCAGAGGTTCTTTCAATGAGAGGTAGTTGATTGTCTTCGGAATACAATGAGATTTATTCTTGTTTGGATAGTGATCTTCTGGACACATGGTACATACATCCATGTCTAGAAAGAAGAGGTACAAAACAAAGTAGACTAATCTGATTTCCAATGTGTCTATGGAAAATTCTAGAATCATCCACTCAACCAGGCTTTCCAACAGAAAATTAAGCTACTATTTTGCTGGGCAGAAATGTGCAACACCATCCAACACCTCCTTCCACCCATTGGGGAAGGACTCCCCCAGGGGTGGGATTCAAATTTTTGACAACCGGTTCTGTGGGCATGGCTTGGGTGGTAGATGTGGCTTGGTGGTCATGTGACTGGGTGGACATGTCTTGGTGGTCATGTTATTGGCTGGGTGTGGCCAACTCAATATCACTCACATCGAGGCACGCATCTCCTCGCCTGGCCTCTCATGACTGTGGGGATGCTGCAACAGTCGTAACTGTGAAAAATGGTCATAAGTCACTTTTTTCAGTGCCATTGTAACTTTGAATGGTCACTTCACACAAGCAAAGTACCAACAAAGGAGGGGGGGAAAGCTCCAGAGACGTTCCTGAGACAGGAAGTCTAGTCCTGCCAAGAATGTAATAAGGGTTAATGGAGAGGCAGTTTCTTTAAGCAACACCAGAATGTTTCCTTCCTGCCTCCCTTACAGGATTAGGCCAGTAATTTCTTCTAACAACCGATTCTCCAAACTGCTTAGAATGTTAACAACCCGTTCTAACAAATAGGTGTGAACTTGTAGAATCCAACCCCTGGACTCCCCTCCTCACCCAATACGCTTTCTTTCTAGTCACTGGTTGCAATGCTATACACTTTTTTGTATTTGGACGAAGAGCTATCTGATCGCTCCTGAAATGATCTCTACTGATGTGGTGGATTTTCCTTTTTTGTTTTTTAATTCAACTGGGGAACCAATGAAGTTGTGAGTCTTCCAGTTGATCCCATTTCTCCCCCTGCTTCTGTATCATTTAGAGTAAAAACAGTTGCCTATCTCTCAGGTACCCTTAATTAAACATACCCTTTATAATGAAAGTAACTCTTTGTGGGAGTGTTCACTGTTGTTTGTCTGTTGTTGCATATGATTCTTAGTTTCCCAATTAATAAAAGGACTTGCTTATCATCTGAGATTATCTGATTGTGGACACTGGATTTAAATGAACTACTTGAACTTATCTTGGTCCAGCAAATATTATATGGAGGTTAGCTTGTACAAAGGGTCTAACCTTGGAGACCACAGTCTTCAAAGAACAACTTTAGAAAGGCAAAGGGATTGATAAATGCTTTCTTTCATGGCAAGGAAACCAGGGAAATGCATCAATTGGAATAAGCATTCTCTGGGAGTAACACAATTTGTTACCCTGGCCAAAGAACTGGCCTATGCATGAAAGGCTGGCAGCTTAAGAGTGCAGTGTGGACAAGCCCACTGTGGTGTCTCTTACCCTTTTCAGGTGAAACCTTGCCTAGAGGACATGGAGAACAATCATAGCAGCAAAATTTTGCCCCTTCCTTCTTCTTTTTGCTGGAACCAGGAAGGCAGTTTGGGTTACATACAGAAACAGGTGGTACCTGTCCATTTGAAGAAAAACATGGGCATAAATCATAAATAACATTAATGCTCATATTTCACACAATAGATGCTCATGGGTCTACCATCCCCAATGTCAGATTTTGCAAGCTGTTAACATCCTTAAACCATTATCACTTCTGTGAAATCTGCAGCTATTTGTGGAAGAATTGTTTCCTTTCAAGATCTAAATCAAAAGTTGAACCTAGTATTTCTTAATATACTTTTGTTTCAATACAGTCATTATTTCTGAATATTCAGATTATAATCATTTTTAATAAATAAATTTTGAATTTATGCTTCTCTCTATCAGTACAGATAGTCCTCAACATCATAATTTCTTTAGTGACCATTTGAAATTACAATGGTGCTGAAAAATGTGTCTCACAACAGATTAATGTGCTTTCAAATGTTGCAACTGCCCTATGTTTACAATGGTTGCAGCATCCCAGAGACATTTGATCATCATTTGTGACTTTTCCAGCAATCTTCCAATAAGTGAAGTCAATGAGCAAAATCAGATCGGCATGATTTGCTAGACAACTACAATAACTCACTTAACAAGCAACAGCCAAAATTTTCATGAATCACTTAACAACAGTCTTGCTTAGTAATGGAAATTCTGACCCCAATTGTCATTGTAAACTGAGGACTATCTGTATAGCACCTTTAGAACAAGGCTGGGATCAGAGAAACCTGAAACAAAATTAACAGCTAAAGACTAGGTTGCAAAATTATGCATGGACACCTGTGTGCACGATTCTTATGGTACTTTGAGAGAAAAATAATGAAAACTGCATTGAATGAAGATTCTATAACATAAATATAAAAATTGTCAGAGTAAAAGAGTGTTGGATCAATCATCAGGAAAATTAAGAAAATGGATAGGAGCTTCCAAGTCCATTTTGACATCTTTCGAAGTGTGATTGTATGAGCTTCCATGCTGGGAAATACTACTCTCTTTACAGCATTGTACATTTCAAGAATGTACAAGAGGAGTGAGAGTAAACAAATTTTCTTTATTTTCCCCTTAGGGTAGAGCAAGCTTTCCTTTGAAAATCCATGAGGAAATTTTAAGAAAGTAATTAACAGGAGCTGAATAGTTGTATATGAGACATTACTCTCAAGTTACACATTGTCTCAGAGATCCATTTTTGCACTCATTTA